ACTTCACAGAATAGATGGCATCATGAGGAAAGAATATTATGTGGAAATATTGAAGCAACATCTCAAGTCAAGACATCAGCCAGGAAGTTAAAGCTTGGGCACAAATGGATCTTCCAAATGGACAATGACCTGAAGCATACCAGCAAAATGGTTGCAAAGTGGCTTTCGGACAACAAAGTCAGTGTTTTGGAGTGGCCATCATAAAGCCCTGATCTCAATCCTGGAGAACATTTGTGGACAGAGCTGAAAAGGAATGTGGAGCAACAAACCTGACTCAGTTCCACTTTGCTTTAATCAACTTGATTGTTTTCCTGATTTAGCCTCAGTTTAAAAGCCTAATGAGGGTCGGGGGCTGCAAATCAACCTCTGCCCTGTATACCTACTGCTCATCTGTATGTAGCCATGGTTTACTGTACAGTCCCTTTTTAAATGACAAATAAAAAATATATAGCTCTCACTTCTATCTATTTAATGGACCAAAGTTTAAAGTAATGCATGCTGGAATTTGTTTATTAAAAAGGCAATGCAGACCTAAATAATGCGTCGTATCTCTTCATGTTTATTATTCTAACTGTCCTGCCATTAATCTTCCTTCCCAAGGTGCCCCTTCCTGTTGAATCTGGACTTGATAGGAATTGCCAATCGCTTTGCACAGTTCAATCTGCCCGCCTTCGCCCTGGGAACTCTCCTCCTCATCCCCTGTGCCAATAAAAATGCCACATCAAGTCCAGGTAATGACCTGTAAAATATCAGTAGTTTGTAGAGTTACCGTTCTTTTCCAGTCTTGGTAACATATGCGACACATTGGCATTGGGTGTGCTGATTCCAGGTTGTTTTGAGTTTTTTAAAATAAATAATCAAAGACATTGTGAGGGTTATGGACTTGTTTTAGATGTGTGTTTTTTGGATTCCTGTTTTCTGTGTGTTTGGCTGGCATGCTTTTCACTTTCAGGCCGATCGGAGGAGGACGCTCTCGCACTGGCACAGCTGCGGCTCATCAGCTCAATCAGCAGAGAGCCTAAAAGCCACTGCTTCACGGGACTCTGGTGCCAGATGATTGTGAACCCCACAAGCGGTGCTTTCAGGCCCTTAGCAGCAGTCTAGAACTCGCATGGTCCTCTGCTGAGTCATTTTCGAGGAACTGTGTGTATCCTCTTTGTTCTCCAGCATCCAGCCGTCCGCCCTGCACGCCAACCTCTACCCTCACGGCAAAAATCGTTGAGTTCTCACCCTGCACGAGCACCAGCACGGGAAAACCTCCACACGGGCACCGGCACCTCCACACGAGTACCAACACGGAAAACCTTCACACGAGCCCGGGCACAGAAAACCTCCACACGAGTACAGACACGGACATTCCCCCTCTTGCACCGCCACTGCAACCTGCACACCTGCCCCAGATTCCCTACCTGCCTCCTGGTGCCCCACACCCCCTGGATTCCCCTAAAATAAACCTATTCCTCCCTTCATTTCCCGTCTCCCTTTCGTTTTGGGTCCAGCACACACACCTGGTGGGCACGGGCCGTCGCAGACATTCTACTTTATCTTTCTTTTTGTTTTCTGTGTTTGTCTTTAGGTACTTTCAGTAGTTTTACTTGTTTTCAGTCATGCACACTACAAAACTAAATACTTACATGTATTAAAGGTAACAATTCTGTAGTCCATATTTAGCAACCACATTTTATTTGCAGACTTTACTGACATCCGTCTCATTTCTCATGAAACGGTTCCTTTATTTAGTCATACAGGTACCTGCGTTATATGTGAGGAAAAGGGCAACCACACTGAACTCTGCAGATCCTGACCTCTGGATGGATTGATTCCTACCCACAGACTAGTGTTACCCCATATTGAAAGGAACTACACCTCTGTGAGTTAAATCAGGTGAAAAGTTTCCGCTTAGATTTGGCAAAAGGTCATCACACAGTGCACACAGAATCGAAAGGTTTAATGGTGTTGATGTGTTCGTTGGTTAACTACACAAATTGTACCTTGAGAAGGTTCGCAAGCAGAGAAAGAACCAAACCTCATTTGATTCCACCTCGTTGTACATACGGCACAATGACATTCACTGTATTGACGACAACTCACACTGTACTGCTGAGTAAAGCAGCCAGCGGAAGATGACATTTCCTGTCAAATTCACAAGTGTTTTGCAAGTGAGGATCGATGCTTTTGAAGAAGGAATGCAATTTTTATCCTCGGTGTTGTGTTGGAATTAAAAACCACATTACTTGCTGTCCTTGAAATGAGTGTCTGTGTTGGGTTCAAATTGTGTTACGTGCTGTTTATCATCCACAAATGCCTCCATTGTTGGTCTGCATGTCGCCTGACAGCTGAAAAATGCCACCAAGTGGAGTAATGTTCTTTCTGTGTAATTTTTGCAATAATATTCTCGTGCATTAGTAGGTCATGCCCGACTTCCCCTTTGTGTTTAGGGCTATTGAACAGTGTGCATGGTAATGTAATTCATATTGTGTTCATATGCACCATGGAATATCAGACTGATTCTATTTTTATACATGCAAAACATTTGCTTTTTAACACCATGTAGTGATATAGAATATAAAAACCTGGCGACAACTATTTAGATGACTGATGACAGTTGGTGAACTTATTTCTATTGAGCAAATGTATTATAGGCCCTGTGATGGACTGTCGACCTGTCCCGGCTGTACTCTGCCTTCACCCTGAGCTTCAGTCTCTTTGGTGGCATCTGTGGCGATAAGCAATAATTGCATGTGTGGTTTTGAACCTCACTGCCCTCAGATATGAGGACACAACTGTGTGAGGTTGGTGATGACGCGTGAAGTTGAAAAGGAAATGATGTCTTCTGAGACAAGGAAAAAAGATGAATTTTGCTTCTATATGTCGCAGCAGACACCCAGGGACTCAACAGACATTGAAATGACAATTTAAACGAAAATCTTTGAGATTGCTACTTTAAAAGCCTTCTCCCATGAGAATCTTTTTTTTTTTTTAACCTTGTTAGCATGTCCATATGCTGGAAGACACATCATCAGCTGTACGTCCATGAACCATGAAAGTGAAGGTTACTGATGACAGGCTGATATAACATGGATTTAGACTTCGAGGGTTTCACACATGTAAGGAGATAGTCTTATCAGCTTGCAGTGTGGGACTTCCTGTGTTATTGCTCTACTTCANCTGCACGGGGAGAACATGCAAACTCCACGCAGAAAGATCCCGGGTGTCGTCACT